ACCGTAACTTGAAATTCTGAGCGCCTGTGGCGATTATTTCAGTGAAAAGTCTTGCCATTGAGAAGGACGATGCCGTTTCTTTTATGTTGACAAGCTATTTTTATTGACATATTTGCTGCAGACACCTACAATCTCAAGATATGGTTTGATGCAAATTAGTTGGATGGAGACGTCGGTTCATACTGAATTTTTGTTTTTTCTTTGGTATCTTTTCAGGCAGTTAACGTCATGTGCTCATAGTTTCGTTTTCTATCGCCACTTCTAGCTTCACATTTTAGTGGAGATTCAGCTTACTGCGACGTTTAGTTTGATTTTTGATGGCCGAAAAATCAGGTTTATTTTTTGAGTAGCACCCTACAAATATGATATGACACAACATTTGTGACTTGCATGAATATGACTTTTAAACTGCAAGCTGACCAGCATTAAGAAACTAATTTGAGCCTTAAGAAGCTTGCAAGAAGAGAGTAAATGACATGAATAATGATTTTACATAACATACTGGTCAGTAATGCAGGCCGATAGTTAAAGACCATGCTTGCCCGATTTGCTTGAAGAAATCATTCTCCATACCCGTTAGTCCTCGGGTATTTGAAATGTGTGAAATGTTTGCTGAAACAGTTCATCCAAAATAATAAAATGGTGACTGCAGCAGGAAGACCCACCTTCTACAGTCGCTACGTGTCTTTCTGCTGTCGACTTGGCTCGTCGAGATATAGTAATGAATGCACGCTACGTCTTGGCGACGAAGAAGCCACGCGGCAGTCCGAATGTTTGAAAGTTGTATGGGCGACGAGGTTCAATAAAACGTTTACGCAATCAAGAAATACTGTTTATGAACTTCCACGTGTGTAAATTCCAGCAAAATAATGTGTTCGTGTTTAGGCATGATACTCTGAGGCTTTGCTTCCAGTTCACGGAAGATCACCAAAGATAATCTCGCTCCAAAGACAACTGGAACTTGGATTCCCATTCTGTGTTTTATCTGATAAGTGCACCTCGTGTTTCACTAGACTCTCAAGGAGAATAAATGTCACGCTATTATCTTTGACTTGTCTTGTTTTGTTGGTGGAACGATGTCAAAAATCGGAAAGATATTCCTTCTGACCCAGTTTAACAAACAGAATCGTTGGCTTAATATTCAATTTGTTTTATATACGTTTTGTAGAGTTGCTCAGGAATCCTGTTCAATTCTTCTTTAAAAAACAAATCGCCAAGAAGTTCGCTACGGACTATTTAGCACAAGCAGTGCGATCGTGTTTTGCTACACAAAGTCTTCATGTGTGAAACTTGGGGTCCTGGTGGTTGTCAATGGCGTAAAACGATAACGTACTCTTTTTACTGAATATTATTTTGGAATCGTTCCTTCGTAAGCCTTTAGAAAGACATATAACTTACGCGTTAAGATGAAATGGTAGGCGTACTATTTTGTTTAGCTCGATAGATATCTTTAAAAAAAAGCTTTACTAACACGAGGCAAGGGAATCGGAGAGAAATCCTTTTTGTATACTGCTCCATTAAAGCGAAGTGACGAACGCTCGTATTGCTATTCGGTCCTTTCTATAGTGCAATAAATTCTTGTAAAATCAATATCTACTGAGTAAGTAAATAATTACTATAAATAAGAAAAGCTGTGAGGCATTTTGTTTTCTAGATTTGGATACTAAAATTGGTGACGAATGACAGGAGGATGATGTAGACTTTTTCAGCGTCTTTCTATTTTGGTACACACAGTAATCAAGGGAATGAGCCCGGACGGAGAGGCGACATATTGATCAAAGCAGGCAGCAGTCTATTGGTGCTCGAGTGCACCGCGCGGTTAGATACAAAAATGATTTCAAGTTACTTTTTTTTTACACCAGGTGCTGGTGTTTATATTAGGGACTTTTAGTTGGCTGCACGCTAGAGCTTCGCGTAGCTAGGTGGGGCTCGTACGAGACTTCGAAGCATGCATTGATCTCTCGCCCGTTAGACCGACAATCCGCAGCGCAGGGTCAACTAAAAGTTTCTAATGAGAGCTACTGTGCATAAACAAAAACCGGTTAAGTGACTAACAGCTTCAAGAAACGCGCGTGTGGCGAGTGCCGGAATCTTATGATGGCTTCGCGGCCAATATCATCGCGGCGGTAAAGGGATCATGCAATTAATTTTGGCTGGGATAAATTACTTTAGAACAAAAGTTTACAAATTGAATATCTTTTAATGAGCTAAAGGAAGGAGGGCACAAAGTCAAAAGCCCGTTTTTCTATTGAAAATTTGAAAATATAGCTAGTTATTTCTTGTCTCGTTTCCCTCAAAAGCTCTCCGCCTTTTTATGTTGTCCGTTCCTTTTTCTTTTTGACCAGTAGAGCAATTTTTAGTTTATTTTGCAGAAGGAAATTTGAAAAAAGTGTAGAAACAATTACTTTGCGAAGAGCAGGTTCTCGTTAACTTTTGTGTTACTTATTTTAGGCTTTATTTTGTGGGGTCCTCGCTTGGCAGCAGTCCGGCGCAGGCGAGCTGGTGGACATGTATTCTTTTTTCAGTGCCTGGGACCGTGGCACGAAAAACAAAACTTTTAGTCGAAGGAAAAGACACATAAAGAGGACCTTTTGAACTAAGCTACTTTCTTTGCTTTCACGAATACTCATGCACCCAGAAATCTAAGGCCGACTACAGCCATCCCTTAACGTCGCCAAAGAGACCTACACTTACAGCAGAAGCAGGCTACCGGAAATTGAACGCACTTTTTTAGCTCGAAAATTGGTCACTTAAAACATACACAAAATTAACCTTTATTTCCACTCCCCTTCTCGCTCACCTTCAAACTGCACAACAAATCCGACCTTCACCAAGAACGACTGGTAGTTTTCAAGACTGACCTTGCAAAAGCCTTACCCTCTTCCCTACTCGCCCGTCTTGCGGACAGCTACCCCGAGAAGACTCTGCTGTTAAGTTCAAACAAGGGACTTGGATCGAAACGTGTGAGGTTGTTGTGAAACGCTCGTGCAATGTGGGGTAACCCTTTAGCAAAAAAAATAATAAAATTACCCCGCTCCTCCTTCCCGGCTCACAGTACATCTAACTCGTCTGAGCCGCATAACACAAAAATTATGTGTATGTTATTACAGCCTGAACTTTGTTTCAACGGGCGATTTCTCCACCAGCTGTAGAGGAGCAGTTTAGCCAGTGCAGTACAATCGCTAGCCTGGAGTCTCTAACGTGCAGAACGCAGTAGTGATACACGGCCCCACGCCGGTAGGATGCTCATGCAGATTGAAACGGGCAGGAGTGGGGATTGAACCTAGGAACCCTGGGTTCTGCAGCGCGAACTTTCACTCCACGTGCTCCAAGCCGGTGTGCCCTAGCCCACTCGGCCACCGATCCTTCGCCCACTACTCACATGAATATGATAAAACCCAAATAGTTTTAAAGGTGAATATATCAACTAATAGAACCTTGGTCCCGGTTGTTGTCTTTTTTTTTTTGCCTTCCTTTATCATGGCATTTAAATTCGTGTTGAGATTTGATGGGGCATTTTTATTAAAAAAATATTCGTTTGAACTAAGTATGGTAATTATCACAACAAAGAAACAACGTATAAGTGACGATATGTTTAATTTTTTAAACAGTAACGCGGACGAGTTTTTTTTTCACAGGTGGAACTTTAACGTGAACGCGTTCCAAAAATCAGAAGGAACGACGAACGAACTGTCGTTGACTCTTCTTGAGGAGCGTGTACAAAACTGGGTCTAGGAGACAGACAGAAAACGCTTGCCTTGATTACACACAGATGCCAATGCTCAGAAGAGCATCCCGTCTGAGTCACAATTTCAGAAAGCCTTAATGTGAATGAAGACGGTTTTACTTTCCAGGTTAACTACGAGCTGAATGTCTTGAATGAGGTTCGGCATTTACTCAGAATACCCAGATAAACTCTCATTAAAAACTCGAAATACATATAATGCAAACCGCCAAAAAAACTTGATATTGTTTTTTTACGGACGTAGTCAAAAACAAGTATCTGGATTATGATATCTCTCTATGACGCTATTCCTGAATTCATTTATTATGAGTTTCTCGTAGAATTGCACGCATAAATACGCATGCGCGGGAAGAATATTATTAAGTTATATAGTGATAACTTTTTCAAGATGCTTATATTAAAAAAGAGGGGTTGTCTGTAATAATAGAAAAGGAGAACCTGTGGAACTAGGTGGGTTATATGTTTCTGAACTTTACAATTAAACTTCAAGTACAGTTGTTTGCAGCATGGCTTTGTCGCTTTATATTTCTATTTGTTTAAGCGCATCTACGAACACTATTAGCGCCGGCGGAGGGACACACCTCTGCTAATAATGGGACGAACTCTATAGCCCTTTGGGAGCATATCGCTGTTTGTAGAAGAAGGCACCGCAAACTCAATTTCTTTGTTATGAATTACGACATAGTTTGTCTTGCAGCTGCGGCAAGTTTGGCTCAAACACGTACCGAGCGTTCATAGCAATGATGCGAAGTGTACACGCAGTTAATATGAAATCGTGAAGACCAATCTTATTTGTCAAGTACCTAAAATCTGAAAATATCAATACTGCAACTCGAACAGACTTCTGATGCTTGAATTAGTCTGCCTAAATGGTTCCCTTTCTGAAATCCAGTACTTTCTCAATCTCTAAAATTTGAAAAGTTCTTAGAAACTGTCGAATTCTATAGAGACCCGTAGAGGCCCTGTGCGTCACGCTCACAACCACAGACCTGCTGCGAAATAAAGCCAGCAGAAACAAAGAGGGAGGCCCCAACCGGTTGGCAGGATACCGTATCAACAAAAGGAAAGAAAAAAAAGAAAAAGATAGAGAGAGACGTGCGATAATCGCGCGTTTATTGTTGAAATCTCTATCTCCTATTGTATCACAGACAATATAGTACTGATACCACGAAGGACTGTGCACATTTATCTCCTTATGAGGGAGCTTTCAAGGAGTTAGTCTTCTAGAAGGCAGACCGGATCGGGAACTCCTACGATGGCCAGGCTTGGCGACTTTCTATTGTCTTGTTTTTCCTACGGGACCGTGACGCTTAGTGTGTTCCTCTTTGTGCCGTTCAAGATGAGTAAGAAGCTGCACGAAGCGTTCTTCGCACGCTTAGTCTACCCCCTGGCGATGTACTTTTCGGGAGACCGATTGACTGCGGTACGCCGTCAAGCGGTGTCCCAGCTAGACGACCTGGTGTCTCACGACGGCACGCTCAAGAAGGAGGGCACAATCAGGGTCCTGGAGATCGGCGCCGGCTTCGGCGCCAACTTTGAGTACATGCAGCGGAACGTGAAATACTGGAGCTTAGACCCTAACGCAGAGTTCGACGACGGATTGCGGAAGAACCTGAAAAAGAGCCGGAACGTGGAATTGGAGCGCTGCGTTCACGAGTACGCCGAAGACATGCGAGGAGTTCCCGATGACCACTTCGACGCCGTGCTGATGACCTTCGTACTTTGCTCCGTAACCGAAGTGAGGAAGGTCCTCGCTGAGTGCAAGAGGGTCCTGGCCAAGGTACGTTACATCGGGGCTTTTTCGTTGCTTTTTTTTCGCTGTTCCCTTGTTGTCGTTTGACTCTGATATGGCAGGGGTCGTGAGAAAGCCCGACTGTCAAGGCTGGTTATTTAGAGGAAACTTTCAGAAGCCATACCACAATCGTGGCTTGGGCCTCCATGAAGTTTGTCTTACCTTGCATGTGACGATGAAATGCTTATTTAACTTTAATACCAGAAATATGAGGGTATAGATCACCGGTGGTATCACAATGTTCCTCCTTTGTGCTAAGTAAGGTTAGGTTAAGTTTGGCTAAGCATCTGGACAGGGAATGATTGAATGTTTGCGTAACTGCTGTACACTTCAACTACTTTTGTCTAACAGAAACGCTTAAGTCTTCAATACACCTGCTGCAAAGCGTGCATAACTTTACGGGGCTCCAGAAACAAATTGTGGGAACTGACTTTATGGAGCTGAATGTAGGAGACGACAAAGGCGACCTTGGAGGCAAAAGAGGCAACAGAGGCGAGTTGGTGAAAATGAATGAAAGAATAAATGTTTATTACCATACGTTATAGTGGCTGGCCTGCATCGAGTCAGCTGGGTCGGAGGGGGGGGGGGGGGGGGGGAGGAGAGGAGGGAGGCAGGGAGCGTAGAATCTAGATAAAGAAGCCATGACCTGCCGACTCGAGGTCTAGCAGCCATTGTTGTTCCACATACTCGACAACAGTACTTAATTTACTAAATACACGGTTCAAAAAGTAATTGTAGAAATTACACAAGTAATTTTCACTGCAGAGTACCTTGAGTAGACTGCAAATACATAAAAATATATTTATTCCCTTTTGAATATACTTCTGCATTGCGCAATATTGACTTCAGCGGCACGAGAATGCTATATTCGCAAGCCACACAAGCAAAGAAAACAGACACACTTTTGAATGCTACAAAAATGAAAAGGAGATCGCTCTACGTATAGTCACATCGTTGAAAATCACACCTTGTAGTGGTATTATTATGCGCAGTTCGGTGGCAATGGTTTACTAAGAGCCCAAGTTGACATATATAAGGAGTTTAGGTTAAACAAGTATTTAAGTAGATTGCCCAAACGCTACAGCTAAAGATGGCAACTTCAAAAAAAAAAAAGGCGAAAAAAAGGCACAAGTGGACGCTAAAAAGCATTCCTCTCTTTCTCCGGGTTGTTGATTTTTTTATATTTTGTTTTACTTCTTTTTTTGTATAAGTGCGTTCAGAAAGGCTTACAACCTGGGAGTACTCTTTGGTTGCATATTGAGAAACTGAAATTCTTGCCATGGCAGGGTCATAGATAAGAAATATTTCCTTTTTTTTGCGGTTAGTCTTAAGTTTTTTTTACTTGTTCTTTAAACTTCTTTTTGAGCCGGCATTTTTGGTCCTTGTTGTTTCCTGTTGTGTCTGGTACCTACCGCTTCAAGTTTTCAATCAGTCAGCTTTGCGCAATTGATGGTTCCTATTCCCGTAAAAAAAGCTCTCTCGACAATTATTTTCAACCATTACAAAATTAAATTGAAATGGGTACAAGATACAAAGTAATATAATTAAGATAGAGTAGTAAATACTTTTTGATTTAATTGATTTGCAAGAATACAAATTACTATCAAATGTAGTTGAAATACAGTTTCTTGAGCACATTATCTGTGTCATACACAAGTTCTTCAGGGAGCCGAGTGCTGCATTACGGTGCTTTACTTCCCCGACTGAAATGATCCATTCATACCTTTTTAGAACGCAGCTCTTAAGGCCCTGTCACATTGAGGCAACAGTTGGAGAACTCTATCCAACAAAGAAGTCGTGTTGCCGGCGACCCTGTCATATCGCGGCAACAACAACAGTCGGGCAACATGTTGCTGCCGCCCGGCAACCGCGTTGCCCGATTTTTTGTCCGACAACCCTGTCACACCGCGCTGACGGCGAGGACAACACGGGAAACACTCCGCCATCTTGATTGTTTACCTTCTTTCGTGTGCGGCGCGCTATCGCTGGAAATGTGACTCTACAAAGTGCTAGTGCGTTCGAAGGGCCGGGAATTACCACGGTAGGACATCAACCAGTGACTGTGATTAGAAAGCTTGACACGGGGAGTATTTTCAGCTCTCTATTTTATCGAAATGTACTTCATTCGCTGACAAAGCAGATAGCCCTAACCGAGGAAAGTAACATCGCTGATATATTTTCGGGATGTCCTATGTCTACCGTAAATTTGAGTTAGCCCCGGCAGTAGCCCAAAGCGTCTTTTGTAGCGTGGTGTTGAGCTGAACTGACAGTGCTTCAAAACCGCGTCACCGGCACGATCGTCCTTCATAACAATCGGTGGAATAAATATTTTCCAACGCTGTCTATTTGCCCTACTCCTGCTATATGATCGCTTCATTTCGCCAAAACGTCCTGGGTGTTTTTGAATCAAATCAGGTGTCTGGTAGCGGCTGTTTCCAAGTTCCAAGCATCAACAATCATGATCAGAATGGTCATTTTAATGCTTCGATTTTTTAATCTTTGGTTTTCTGGATTATTTTTATGATACTTCATCAGCGGGTGAGCAGGCATGCCATTTTATTTTACTATCAGTAATGTGAGCTAATCTCTCGGCAGTTCTAATTTCAAAGTCAGTCTGAATGTTCACGACAGTAGCTGTGACAATTTCGAAAATCGCTTTCCGTAACTACGCCGCAAAAACATTAATCGAAAAGTAGCTGCACGCCAGCCCTAATTATTAAAGTCTGAAAATATATCTCCAACCAAAAAATGAAAGGCAACCCGACGTTTCAAAACCAACACGGTTTCTTCTTCAGGGGTGACTGAAGGCGCGCGGACACAGCAGCAGCTCCCAACCTCTTCGTCTTCAAAAAAGGAAAGAAAAGAAAGAAAGAGAAAAAAAAAAATTAAAAAAGAGAAGTTAGGAAATTGGAAAAATTATAAAATAACTTGTTAGTTATGAAGATGGTCATCTCTTCAGCTTTTCCGTCAGGTCACGGAGGCCATGTGCGTACACAGAGGGCAGAGCGCCCAGCGACCTGTTTAGGTTTCCTGGGGTGTGCTGGATGTGCCACGATTCCAAGAAAAGTCTTCTTCGAAAATTGGGCTTTGTGTCCACTACGTGCGCGTTCGCGAAGTCAATGCGATGGTCTAGGGTATTGCAATGTTCGGCGATGGCGCTGCGCTCACTGTCAAACTTCCGCACGTCGTTCTTGTGTTGGCGGATACGCTCGGGAAAGTTCTTCGTCTCGCCGATGTAGGTTGCGGGGCACTCTGCGTAAGGAATGGTGTAAACCACGCCCTGTGCTTTTTCCTTTGGTGGACGGTCTTTCGGTCTTGGCATAAACCTTCCCAGTGTGGACGTGGGCTTGTGGGCCACCAGAATACCTTGCTTTCCCAGTACTCGTGCGAGCGCTTCGCTGGTTCCCTTTACGTAGGGAACGCTTATGCGCGCGAGTCGATGGGGCTGTCGTTCTTCTACTGGCATCCGGTTTTGTCCGGCGAGACCTTGCCGTCGGGCGATGCGCTCAATAAAGCTGCTAGAGTAACCATTTTTCTTTAGGTCTTCAATTATGGTCTTCTTCTCCTTCTTTCTATCGGTTTCCGACGAGCAGATAGTCGTTGCCCTACGCAGCAGGGTCGAAATCACTGAGGCCTTATGACTCGTTGGATGGTTGGAGACAAAATCGAGGTAGCGTTCGGTGTGTGTTGGTTTTCGGTACACCGCAAACGCCAGATCTTGTCCTCGTCGGTTCACCAGCACATCAAGGAACGGCAAGGTGCCATCCGTCTCATATTCTACGGTAAATTTAATGGCCGGCTCGATAGAGTTGAGGTGCGCCAAAAAATTATTCACGTCCCGTTCCTTGAGAATGCAGAAGCAATCATCTACATAGCGCATGAATACTTTGGGGCTGTTGGGAAAAGACCTCAGCGCTTTTTGCTCGATTGCCTCCATCGTGAGGTTCGCCGTTGTGACCGAGATGGCCGCACCCATTGCACTGCCACTGACCTGTTTGAAAAGCTCCCCTTTGAAGGTGAAGTATGTGCTGCCGAGACAAAACTCGAGCAGACGGCACAGCTCCTCCACAGTGAGGTTGGTTCTTGTGGTCAAGGAGCTGTATTTTTCGAGGGCTTCGCGGGCTGCAGCAACTGCAAGGGGAACTGGGACACTGGTGAAGAGGGACACCACGTCGAAAGACACCATGGTGTCACCATCGCTGAGATGTATTTGCGAGGCGCGTTCCACGAAGTGGCCAGCATTTTCTACATGGGTCGACGTGTTTCCGACAAGGGGAGCCAAAGTCCAGTGAAGATAACTGGATAGCGCCCGAAGCAGTGACGTTGTAAAGTCCACAATAGGTCGTAGAGGCACGTTGGGTTTGTGCATCTTTGGAAGGCCGTAAAAAACCTGGAGCGGAGCCATTCCTGCAAATAAGTTGCAAGTAAAGGCTCTTTGACTGAGGGTATTTCTTGAAAATCTCTGCCAGGATTTTGTTCAAGTTCCTCTGAACCTGTGGCGTCGGATCTTTCTTGAGCTTTACATAAGCATGGCTTCCAAGAAGATCCCGTACCTTTTCCTCGTATACCTCTCGATCCAGGACGACGGTCGACTTCCCTTTGTCAGCCGGCAGAAGCACAATCTCCGTATCTTCACGAAGTTTCCGAAGCGCTGTAACTTCTTCGGCCGGCAGGTTGAGTCGTTGCCGTTGTGGGAGCTTGGAAAGGATGCCCACCGCTTCAAGCCGCACTCCATCCCGGATGCTAGGGTCTAAGCGCATAATTCCGTCCTCCACAGCCGCGACCATTTTTGGAAGAGGCGGCCGTTGCGTGGTCATGTTGAATCCGTGGCCTTTTGCCAAGACCGCAATCTCGCATGGCGAGAGCTGTCGAGAGGAGAGGTTCTTGACAAAGTTTGTGTCATTGGTGCCTCGACCTGAACGGTCCGATCTTGTTAGCCTTGAAATCTTCTCTTTCTGAGAAGTCCGTCGTTTATCCAAAGCAGTAGA